CTTCCAAAACTATGTTGAATAATAGCGGTGAGAGTGGGAAACCTTGTCTTGTTCCTGATATTAGTCAAAATGGTTTCAGTTTTTCACCACTGAGAACAATGTTGGCTGTGGGTTTGTCATATATCGCCCTTATTATGTTGAGATAAGTTCCCTCTATGCCTACTTTCTGGAGGATTTTTATCATAAATCGGTGTTGAATTTTGTCAAAAGCTTTGTCTGCATCTACTGAAATTATCAGATTTTTTTTGCTTCAATTTGTTAATATGGTGTATCACATTGATTGATTTGCATATATTGAAGAATCCTGGCATTCCTGGGACAAAGCCCACTTGATCATGGTGTATGATCCTTTTAATGTGCTCTTGGATTCTGTTTGCTAGTATTTTGTTGAGGATTTTTGCATCTATGTTCATCAGTGATATTGGCCTGTAGTTTTCTTTCTTTGTGACATCTTTGGTTTTGGTATCAGGTGATGGTGGCCTCATAGAATGAGTTTGGGAGTGTTCTTCCCTCTGCTCTATTTTGGAAGAGTTTGAGAAGGATAGGTGTTAGCTCTTCTCTAAATGTTTGACAGAATTCACCTGTGAAGCCATCTGGTCCTGGGCTTTTGTTTGTTGGAAGATTTTGAATCACAGTTTCAATTTCAGTGCTTGTGATTGGTCTGTTTATATTTTCTATTTCTTCCTGGTTCAGTCTTGGAAGGTTGTGCTTTTCTAAGAATTTGTCCATTTCTTCCAGGTTGTCCATTTTATTGGCATAGAGTTGCTTGTAGTACTCTCTCATGATCCTTTGTATTTCTGCAGTGTCAGTTGTTACTTCTCCTTTTTCATTTCTAATTCGTTGATTTGAGTCCTCTCCGTTTTCTTCTTGATGAGCCTGGCTAATGGTTTGTCAGTTTTGTTTATCTTCTCAAAGAACCAATTTTACTTTTACTGATCTTTGCTATTGTTTCCTTCATTTTTTTTTCATTTATTTCTGATCTGATCTTTATGATTTCTTTCCTTCTGTTAACCTTGGGGTCTTTTTGTTCTTCTTTCTCTAACTGCTTTAGGTGTGAGGTTAGGCTGTTCATTTGAGATTTTTCTTGTTTCTTGAGGTTGGATTGTATTGCTATAAATTACCCTCTTAGAACTGCTTTTTGCTGCATCCCATAGGTTTTGGGGCATCGTGTTTTCACTGTCATTTGTTTCTAGGTATTTTTTTTATTTCTTCTTTGATTTCTTCAGTGATCTATTGGGTATTTAGTAGTGTATTGTTTAGCCTCCATGTGTTTGTATTTTTAACAGTTTTTTCCCTGTAATTGATATGTAGCCTCATAGCATTGTGATTGGCAAAGATACTTGATAAGATTTCAGTTTTCTTAAATTTACTAAGGCTTGATTTGTGATCCAAGATATGATCTATCCCAGAGAATGTTCCATAAGCACTTGAGAAGAAAGTGTATTCTGTTGTTTTTGGATGGAATGTCCTATGAATATCAATTAAGTCCATCATGTTTAATGTGTCATTTAAAGCTTGTGTTTCCTTATTTTTCATTTTGGATGATCTCTGCATTGGTGAAACTCGGGTGTTAAAGTCCCCTACTATGATTGTGTTACTGTTGATTTCCCCTTTTATGGCTGTTAGCATTTGTCTTATGTATTGAGGTGCTGCTATGTTGGGTGCATAAATATTTACAACTGTTATAAATTCTTCTTAGATTGATCCTTTGATCATTACGCAGTGTCCTTCTTTGTCTCTTGTAAGAGTCTTTTATTTAAAGTCTGTTTTGTCTGATATGAGAATTGCTACTCCAGCTTTCTTTTGATTTCCATTTGCATGGAATATCTTTTTCCATCCCCTCACTTTCAGTCTGTATGCGTCCCTACGTCAGAAGTGGGTCTCTTGTAGACAGCATATATACATGTCTTGTTTTTGTATCCATTCAGCCAGTCTATGTCTTTTGGTTGGAGCATTTAATCCATTTACATTCAAGGTGATTATTGATATGTATGTTCCTATTACCATTTTCTTAATTGATTTGGGGTCACTTTTGTGGGTCTTTTTCTTCACTTCTGTTTCCTGCTTAGAGAAGTTCCTTTAGCATTTGTTGTAAAGCTGGTTTGGTGGTGCTGAATTCTCTTAGCTTTTGCTTGTCTGTAAATCTTTTGATTTCTCTGTCGAATCTGAATGAGATCCTTGCCAGGTCGAGTAATCTTGGTTGTAGGTTTTCTCCTTTCATCACTTTAAATATGTACTGCCACTCTCTTCTGGCTTGCAGGGTTTGTGCTGAAAGATCACCTTTTAACCTATGGGGATTCCCTTGTATGCTCTTTGTTGCTTTTCCCTTGCTGCCTTTAATATTTTTTCTTTGTATTTCGTTTTTGATAGTTTGATTAATATATGTCTTAGCATGCTTCTCTTTGGGTTTATGCTGTATGGTACTCTCTGTGCCTCCTATACTTGACTATTTCCTTTCCCATGTTAGGGAAGTTTTCAACTATAATCTCTTCAAATGGTTTCTCAGACCCCTTCTTTTTCTCTTCTTCTTCTGGAACCCCTATAATTCGAATGTTGGTGCATTTAATGTTGTCCCAGAGGTCTCTGAGACTGTCCTCAATTCTCTTCATTCTTTTTTCTTTATTCTGCTCTGTGGTAATTATTTCCACTATTTTATCTTCCAGGTCACTTATTCGTTCTTCTGCCTCAGTTATTCTGGTATTGATTCCTTCTAGAGAATTTTAAATTTCATTTATTGTGTTGTTCATCATTGTTTTTTGCTCTTTAGTTCTTTTAGGTCCTTGTTAAATGTTCTTGCATTTTGTCTATTCTATTTCCAAGATTTTGGATCATCTTTACTATCATTACTCTGAATTCTTTTTCAGGTAGACTGCCTATTTCCTCTTCATTTGTTTGGTCTGGTGGGTTTTTACCTTGCTCCTTCATCTGCTTTGTGTTTCTCTGTCTTCGCATTTACTTAATTTACTGTGTTTGGGGTTTCCTTTTCGCAGGCTGCAGGTTTGTAGTTCCCATTGTTTTTTGTGTCTGCCCCCGTGGGTAAGGTTGGTTCAGTGGGCTGTGTAAGTTTCCTGGTGGAGGGGACTCGTGCCTGTGTTCTGGTAGATGAGGCTGTATCTTGTCTTTCTGGTGGGCAGGACCACGTCCAGTGCTGTGTTTTGGGGTGTCTGTGAACTTATTATGATTTTAGGCAGCCTCGCTGCTAATGGGTGGGGTTGTGTTCCTGTCTTGCTAGTTGTTTGGCATAGGGTGTGCAGCACTGTAGCTTGCTGGTCATTGAGCGGAGCTGGGTCTCAACATTGAGATGGAGATCTCTGGGAGAACTCTCGCCGTTTGATATTACGTGGGGCCAGGAGGTCTCTGGTGGTCCAATGTCCTGAACTCAACTCTCACACCTCAGAGGCTCAGGCCTGACCCCCCGCCGGAGCACCAAGACCCTGTCAGCCACACGGCTTTTGGGAAGTCTAAGATCTTCTGCCAGCATTCAGTAGGTCTTCTGTAGGAGTTGTTCCATATGTAGACGTATTTTTGATGTATTTGTGGGCAGGAAGGTGATCTCCACATCTTACTCCTCTGCCATCTTGAAGGTCCTCCTCTGGTTGTTGTTAGTTTTAATATGCAACATTATTTAAGAGCTCAGAGAAAAGTGAGCTTGTGCAGTTGTAGACAATGAACAAGAACGCACAGATACTTTTGAATATTAATATATGATACCAGCAAGTTTGGGATGGGTTCTATTACCACATGGGGATTTATATTACCAGTTAACAGACTTCTAAGCAACCGCCAAACAGACATTTTTTGGGTTTTTTTTTTTTGGCCGTACGTGGGCCTCTCACCGCAGTGGCCTCTCCTGTTGCGGAGCACAGGCTGAGGATGCGCAGGCCCAGCGGCCATGGCTCATGGGCCCAGCCGCTCCGCAGCATGTGGGATCCTCCCAGACCGGGGCACGAACCCGTGTCCCCTGCATCGGCAGGCGGACTCTCAACCACTGCGCCACCAGGGAAGCCCCCAAAAGACAGTTTTTAATGATGGAATGAGGTCAGATGACTAGTGAAGCAAGGTACATAAAAGGAATAAAGGCATTCAAGGAAAGAGGAACACTTTGATACATTCTAATTCAATTGAGCAAAGCTAAGATAAGTGTAGGTGAAGAGGTATGAGCAATTTATTTAGGCAAAGTGACTTTATGTTTTTGAATAACATAACCCGGTAATAAATATACCTATAAACTTTAACCATAAATACAGAAACTTTACTCCCTTTTAAAAATTACTCAACAAAGCTTCTCCTAAAGACTCATCTATTATTTGAAATTCACATCTTTCAAACCCTTAGTGCTTTTTGCTTCCATGCATTATAAAATGAATACACCATTTCCCTGAGCAAAATCTTTAAAAAACTATAATAAGCCAACTAATATATTACACAGCACAGGGATTCCAAAATCAACAACACTGCAAGTTCCAACAATAACCTGCCTTGTGACTCAATAATGCCAGAGTGTTTTATGAACTGGGATGCTAAAGTTCAATCTGAAAGGTATTTCACTGTAAGACCGAGAATCCATGAAGGCAACCAGTCACTCAAAGTTCTGTGTTGAGATGTTTGGGGACCGCGGCTGTGCCGCGCCACACTCCTGCACAGCAGCACTGTTATCGTGCTACCAACTGCCTCCAGCTGCACACTCAGCAAGGACCAGAACACACAGCACGCGCTTGCCCTAAGGGCTTCTCACCGCCATTGTTTATTTAATTCTCCGAGCTTGAAAGGAAACCTCAAGAGTCCTCAGAGCACCTGGGAGCAAAAGCCCAGACACATAATAAACAAGCACCCAAAACATCTGTAGAAATAGATACACTGAGCTTCTTACTAAAGCCTTCCACAGCACATTCTCATCACGATAAGCCATCCTATTCAGTGGTAGATCTTAATCCATCTGGGCTATTGTCTCAGAAGCAATTCCATATCTTCAAGCTGGAGACAAGGCTATAATTGCTTACCTGACTCACAGGCAAATGTCTTTGACGTTTCATCATGAAAGATAATTGCCACTGCATGCTTCTTTGTCTCTCGAGGCAGCCTGGTTATATTTTTGATGTTGTGCAGTTCAGTTACCTTGAAAGAAAAATATTTTTAACTTAGTGTACAGTACATGCTATATATGTATCGGTGATTACACAAAATGATCAGTTATTACTGTCTTAAGCCACTTTCCAATGGCTATTTTTACTTGGTAGCCAGGTATGATGTACTGTGTAAAAGGAACTGCTGTAAATAGGCCTTTAGTCATGTGGTGGTCAGCTGTAGGCGAAGGGACGTGTTCCACAGTCCTGTCATTAGGTCTCAGTCTTTAGCGAGCCTGTGCCTCTGGACTGTGAGCTTAACAAGTGTTTCTCAGTCCTCCCTAACCATAGGTGGGAGAGGATGGCTAGAGTGGGCAGAAACTGGGTATTTACCTTGTCTTTAACAAGGGTACCAGTTTTGACTTGATCAATGTTCAATGCTTTCACTTTATCACACATTATAACTGAAAATGCAGGGTTCTGATGAAGGGAAATGATTTAATTCCATTTATGATTCACAATGCCATCCTAGAAGCACTATCAATCACTAACTAGTGTTCTAAGTGAAGGAAGATAAACAGATATATATTTAAAAAATTTTGCTCCTCCATTTGTGAAGATGATACCTCTGATGCTGATTAGGATATACTAGTATAAGAATAGTTTAAATGACCAATTCATAGCTAAAAATTGTACTGATGACACATAATATCTGTAAAATAAAACTATGTGGCTACTTGTTAAACAACTTTATGCTTTTTGTCATATTTCCTTTTAAAATCTGTAGTGATCTAGACTTCTAGCCTCATAAAATAACATGTTTATCACTCAGTGTTGCTGTGTAGGCTGTCCAGAGGGGCCCTTTTGTTCTTTGTCACAATGAATTTACAGTCTACTGTCTACATTCTACATTGCAGGAAAATTCATTTTAATATATCTTCTCTTCATATTTGTTTTTTTCTCTCTCCTCGTCATTATCTCATTTAAGATTAACATGCAAAATTAAAATGGGTAAGATAAGTGATTTTAAGTTAAATAAACTAAAAATTATTTGCTTCATATATATGCATATATATAAACACCTATATGTATTGATTTGTGAATTATACATATACTATATCTATCTATCTATCTATCTATCTACCTACCTACCTACCTATCTATTTGGAAATACTCATTTTCCCTTCCAGTAAAGAATAATTAGACACTAACATCTTACAATGTCTGAGGTCTAATACTCTGGGGAGAAAGATGAGAATTTTTTTTTGGAACAATGATTTGCATATTATATTTAAAGTACATTAAAGCATGTTCTCAATGATAAATTCTTGAATGTTTAAACGATTTGATAACTGACTCAAGTAATATTTAAGCCAAATTTTTTTCTAACATAGTAAGTTAAAGATTTTAAAAAGAGATATTATTTTCAAGTGTTATTAATTTTAAATAAACAAATGATCTTAATAAAATTAAATAGAGACTAAAAGCAATGAAGATTATGTGTTGCTTAAGAACTGATGCAATTTATGTCAGGTGAGCATGAAGTGATATGCTGCTATGTACATTATATATAATATCTAGTTGTACCAAACAATATCATAAAAACATTTACTATTCTGCTCAAAGGTCTTTCCAAATATGTTTTTTTTACAAATTATATATTTTTTTTTACAAATTATATTTACAAATATAAAAGAATATTGGAACAGATATCGTAGATTACATCTTTTTTTGTCACCTCATCGCAAAAAATCAACAGAACAAATTAATAAATACCCTAGCAAAATGCAGCAAGCACTAGAGATCTAACTTTAGTGCCTTAGGCAATCTGACAGATGATGTAGTTCAAAGTGTTTGCTCTTCTGTAAAATTTACATTTAGAAATGCAGAGAACCTCTTCAAGCAGACATTGTTACACTGGTTTCCACAACAGTGCAAGGTTTTTTGTTGTTGATCAATAGTGCGATGCCACCCACTTCAGTGTGTGCCCTAACACGCTGAAGAGATGCCAGAAAGCAAAATACTCATGAGGAGCATAAAATTCCACTTCTCAGACTGTCTTGGTTAGGAAATTCAAGTGTTATACTAGATTATAAAATGTTACAAAATCATACCAGAAGGTACCAAAATCATACTTCGAAGATTTTCTAAGGAGTTGGTATACCTTTGGAATTTGATATATCTTTAATTCAAAATATATTTTAAAAATATTTAAAATCATAACAATTTACGTCAAGATATATTTGAGTCTCCTGTCCTCACTTTTCACTCTCAGTACTATATGATTTTACCATCCAGTACAAAACTATTTGTATTTTCTTACATGAAGACAATTTTTAAAAGAATGTCTTTAAATGTTTTAAAATAAAAATGTTCTTATTAGTCTAAAACCTAACAATGTGACATAAAAGTAATTATGAACTTTTATTAAGACTGTGAAATCCTAGAGCATTTCAATAAAATATATCAATAAATTATTACATCAATTAACAATTCAATCCATATACCTGAAATATTGATTTTTCATATTGCTATAAAAGGACAAAATTTTAAAGTTTAACAATAAAACATTAAAATAATTACTTTAAATATGAAATCAACAGAATTTAATTAAAGGAAAAATTACTTGAAAATAATTCAGGTTGTTCAAGTCTAAGTCAATAAATGCCACAGTCAATAATTAAAATATTGAGGTCTAATAAGTGATAGAAGGAAAGCCTAAATATAAACATACCTAAATGATGACTTTGCTACCTGGTGTTATTTTTTTTTTTTTTTTAACATCTTTATTGGAGTATAATTGCTTTACAATGGTATGTTAGTTTCAGCTTCACAACAAAATGAATCAGTTATATATATACATATGTTCCCATATCTCTTCCCGCTTGCGTCTCCCTCCCTCCCACCCTCCCTATCCCACCCCTCCAGGCGGTCACAAAGCACCGAGCTGATCTCCCTGTGCTATGCGGCTGCTTCCCACTAGCTATCTACCTTACGTTTGGTAGTGTATATATGTCCATGCCTCTTTATCGCTTTGTCACCGTTTACACTTCCCCCTCCCCATAGCCTCAAGTCCATTCTCTAGTAAGTTTGTGTCTTTATTCCTGTTTCACCCCTAGGTTTTTCATGACATTTTTTTTTTTTTTAAATTCCATATATATGTGTTACAATACGGTATTTGTCTCTCTCTTTCTGACTTACTTCACTCTGTATGACAGACTCTAGGTCTATCCACCTCATTACAAATAGCTCAATTTCGTCTCTTTTTATGGCTGAGTAATATTCCATTGTATATATGTGCCACATCTTCTTTATCCATTCATCCGATGATGGACACTTAGGTTGTTTCCATCTCTGGGCTATTGTAAATAGAGCTGCAATGAACATTTTGGTACATGACTCTTTTTGAATTATGGTTTTCTCAGGGTATATGCCCAGTAGTGGGATTGCTGGGTCATATGGTAGTTCTATTTGTAGCTTTTTAAGGAACCTCCATACTGTTCTCCACAGTGGCTGTATCAATTTACATTCCCACCAACAGTGTAAGAGGGTTCCCTTTTCTCCACACCCTCTCCAGCATTTATTGTTTCTAGATTTTTTGATGATAGCCATTCTGACTGGTGTGAGATTTCAAGGAGCAATCCCCAAGGAATTCATAGTGATAAGAGTCAGAGGTAGAGTGTTCAAAGAAAAAACACATAATATTTTTCTGTAGGACTTCATAACATAGCTGGGGTGACAATATTACAAATGATGGTGATAAACCCTGTGACAGCCAAACAAACACAGAAGAAGAAAGTATTCTGTAACCAATTTGTGGATTGGTCACCTGTACCAATCAATGTTACAAAAAAACCTGGATTTTAAAGCATAAGTTAAAAAAGTATATAGACAGCTTACAACCTTACTCTCCTGCCCTATTTTGTTCATGTGGCTTATATCTATTAATGATCACAATAAGAAATATTAGTACTTATAAAGTATTCAAAATTTTTTTATTAATATGTTTAAAACTAATAAACCATTTTATGATAACACAAATACTATTTTAAAATTTTAAAAATTTTCTTAAATAGGCAAAGAGTGTTAATGTTTTTACATTTTTGCAAAACTCAATATCTGGCTTAAGAGAAGACAGCTTGATACTCATTTCTGCTTCTGAATTCAGATACATGGTTTTGATTACGTATATACAGAAAATAAGTCCTCACACAGACATGAAGTTGCAAAAGGGAAGAATAGTTTAAGAGCATTTTCAGCCAACTGTAGATATTCTTCAATTCTGTCTCCAAAGTTGACATATTTCTTTTAAAGGTTATTACCACGGGGGGTCTGACATAGTGTCATACACGTTTTACACTCTGTTGCATTAAAATCCATAGGCCTCTTTTCACCTTTGACTGATTTTGGGTAAAACACTGGTTCACTGAGTTATGAAGATCTTATAAATGTCAACATATTTCATTATCAATATAAAAAATTCATCAATATCACCCTTGGTTCCCCCAAAAACGTCTGTAAGTTTTGAGAAGTTGTTAAACTCAAGAATGCAGACACAGTAGGTGCCCAAATTTTAATTTTCATCTGAAAACTTAAAATTTAGCTTTGTTAATAAATACTGTCAATTGTTTTCTTTGAAGACAGGCTCATTTAGTTCATTTTTGAGAAAATGTCTGAGAATTACCCAAGACTGAATAACCATATTGTTTTCTATCACACTTTCATTAAAATAGATGTTCTGTGAAAAAAATTTTTTGCCAGTTTGCTTGTAATTTCAACAATCACACAAGTGCTCCCCCTGGAGATAATCATTTCATGTCAGTATGTAGCAGATGTGTTTTATGGGTTCTTACCATTTTGTCACATACAGTATTAAAAAGATGTACTTAAAGGTCTAGATTTAATAAAGTTATTTTTATTGTTTCATCAATATGATTCCTAAGTAAAATGAAAATACAATTGAAATATGTTTTGTTTGTTCATTTGCTTATTTGGGTGAATATATGATGGTAAAGAATACAATGACTTTAGTTGCATTTATTTTTACTGCTT